GAGCCTGGGATCGTATCTCGATCAAAACTAGGCTCCAAAATAAATCGTACCTAATAACGACATATTACGTCTTAAAATAGGAATGGGTCGAATGCATGTGGGTTTCCATGGTTACCGCTAAAGTTATCAAAACCTTGTAACGAAGGAGTTCTCAACCCGCGGACAGACGATAAGTTTGGTTCGAACCGCGAACATTTTTATTATCAATGTGTCAGCCCCCGTATTACGAGTTACCTGATATCAGAAAACACGATCTGTTAATATCGTTAAGTTTTTGAAAATAACCACGAATAAACAAATGCACGATCTGACGACGAACGTGAAATCAACAACTCGGACTCGTCTTGAATTTGGTAGTGACAGATCGCTCAAGCAAGAGCTCGTACCACGCATTCCTAGTACATAAATACCACACCTGCGCCAAATAGAGAGATTGAAAGACAGATTATAAAACCACGCAAAACGTACGATGATCTAATGGGGAAAAAGAGTGTCCTCTCACGTGGAGTGGGCAGGGAAACACGTGTTGACCACGTGAACTGCGCACTACAGGAATTTACTGATGTCAGTCTCTTTGGCAACACTACCGAAACAGGACATAAAGTTTTAAGTCTCTGTATCAACTGTTGACGTCAAGATGCCCCGACAGTGCGCCACGCTTGTCGAAATTAAACGTTCTCACGTCTTCCGGGACAATAGCCGACGTTTCAGAGGTGTTTACCGTCGCCCTGACGATTGAGGCAGTAATCACTTGAAACGTCGGTATATTTCTACGGCGTAACATCCCAGAAGAAAGTCATCTTCAAACCGATCTTCGGCTTCTTAAGACTGATACCCCCACATCAACATTCCCAACATTACGCACTTCTAAAACAATAGCTACTTTAGGTTACGTAACTTAAAAAATCTTTGGATATGGAATTGTTTGCAGTTTCGACAACTACTCAATATGCAGAAGGCACAAAAATGACGTCAAAACAACAACCGGTAGATTACCTCATCGCTAGTAAAAAGCCTTGGCAGATCATTCAATCGACAGCCAACAGCTTTTTACGGTAATTGCAAAACTGCGACCGAACTACGCGGGAGAATAAATAATCGACCGGATTAAACCAGCTTCACGCATGGATCGAGAACGTCGCTCACTTGGCAATAAACACGAAAAGACGTCGCGGCTCAGTGGTTAGCACTCCTTCGCATCCAGAAGGTCCTGAGTTCAAACCTCGGCCAGGACACCGGCTGTCCTACAGGATTTTCGTGGTTCTTATCACCGCCTCTATGCAAAAGCCAGGATAGGACATTAATTACTGTTCGCGACTGTAATCTTGAGACTTGCAATGAATGCAGGAAGCCCAAAGCGTTAAAGGCAGACGCCTTCCTCCTTCACCCCACTTCCTCACCCCGCAAGTCTCAAGATTACAGTCGCGAACTATAGGACGCGAAAGATTCTTTCCAATTAATTATTCATCCTATCACCAGACACTGAAATATGAGCTAATGACGTCATTAAATAGACCATAAGTAAATAAAAAAATATAATTTTCGAAAGTAACTTATTTTATCAGAATTGCTTGAAAATCATGTTCTGTAATATATTTTGCATATATTTGTACCAGAAAACGCGAGTTACTTCGTAATTTACAATGGTCACCTACAACACCTGATACGATACGTTGGAGCCAGACGCGCGAATCTGACGAAAGACATTAAAAACGCATACAAAATGTTGGTGGTGAAACCTCCTACATAACAAACACTTTAAAGACTGAGATGAGATAATAAAGTTAAGCCAGATCTTAGCGATACGCCGTGGTGACGGGGGGCAGACTTTGACATCAGCTACGACAAACCTTCCAGCCCCACCAAAGATGAACAGGACGGGTCAAATGTTAATTAGACGACATTCAGAGTCTAAATGGGTTAAATTAAAACACAATGCTGGTAAAACGAGATTTATAGAGGTGTATGCCAGACTACGGTATAATTAGACGCCACTCGTAGCACGGAATGTCTAATGACAAACGTAAAGAACCTCCTTCTGGGCATTGACTGAAACGGACTGCCGTATGCCTCTCTCCCTTTCTTAAACATTTCACAAGTACAGGAGCGTGTCTCTAACAAGTTATTAACATGACAAAACATGTCGCAATACGGGCGTCATTTATTCCATTACGGCACGCATACCAATTTGAACAATAGGAGGCTGATTTGACGGAGGCATTCAAAGCATCCGATCTACATTCAACGCTTACACTCGTGACATTACAGCATCAGACTAAGAAGACATCCATGACGAGTCACAGAAACATAACGAACTCTTCTCTGCCGCTAATAATTTGTACTATCTGAGGTTACAACAAATTTTTAAAAGTCAATGGACGATAAAACTTCAAATTGCATAACACAGTCCGCAGGTTTTAATTTTTCTACAAATGCCACTAATATGAACGTATAAAGACGTCTATTCTTATGCACCATTCCGCGCCTCTGAGACCTCGGAACTAAGTCGAGGCGAGAGGTCAGCGGTT